ACTGTTGACACCATAGCCATTTGGCCCTCACCTTCCTATGCATGCTATGGTAGCACACACCTGCCTGCACCTGTGACCTCTTACCTGTGGCCGTTTGGGACCTATTTAGATGCAGCGGAGGCCAGAGTTACTGGGGACGTGCTCTAAGGTGAAGATTCATCATTAAGTATCCCGAGGTTGTCCACTTTGCTGTCTAAAGGATGGGTATCAGCTCAGGACCCCCAATACCAAGTTCTCAACAAAAAAGAGATTTATTTGTCCTAGAGGGACAAAGGGCAGGGAATAAGAGACAAAGACAGGAGATAGAGGACAAAAGAGAAAGGGAAGGAAACAAGGGAGAGAGGGCAGAGATATTTGTCCCTGAGGGACAAAGGACTATCTCTGGATAGAGAGGAGGCAGATGTGGCCCATAGGAAAATGGTGGTTTATAAAGGCAAAAGGGGAAAGCCCCCTGTTATGATGAGGTGCTTAATTTTAATTGGGCATGTTAATTAGGGCAGCCACAGGGGGATTTTGATTGCTGGACTTCATTACTTTTATAGCTGGACCTTGGTAGTCAGCCTCAGGAGGAGGAAGTGACCAAATAAGGGAATAGACCTCAGTAGCTAGCTTTAGGCATGTAAATTTTGTTTGTTTTTCTTAGCAAAGCAGAGGGCATGGAGAGAAGGGCAAGGCCTGCCAGAGCCATGTTTGCCATGCTTAGGCTGGCTAGAGTCCCTTCAGCTATTGAGTTAAGACTCTGCCTCTGGGAATTACCCACACCTCTGCAAGTTGCCACGGCAGCTGAGTGGGGTAGGAACTTGTGCCCTCCACTGGCTTCTTTCTCCTTTCTGCTGCTTTCCCATAACCCGGTCAGTGTTTCCTGAGACTCTCCCTCCCCACAACTCCTGTTCTTGAGTCTTTAGTTTGCTCCTGAAGGAAATCCGTCTATGCTAACATCCTAGTGTCTGTTTTTCTTTCCCTCACTTCTCCACTTCCTCCCTTCTATACAGACCAGGCTCAAGTTGGGCAGAAATTATCTGGAGAAGCATCTAACCGTTTCTAGGCCCAGCTGTCCTGAGGCTCCAGGCAGCTAGAGTAATGAGGTAAAGAGAGCCGCCTTTTGTGACTCAGATTCTCACCTTTGTGATCCATCTGCTGTTCTGGTTATAGTCCCACCATGTGTACCCAGATGGGAGGACGTGGGCCCTTTAAAGGAGTATGCAGACTCTAGTTCCAGTTCTGCCACATCCTGACCCGTGGCTTCAGTCTCTAGGTTTCAGTTTACTCCTCTGCAAACTGAGGGGTCAGAGTGGATGACCTGTAAATCCCCAATGTACTGTTACATCCGAATTTGTTAAATAGTGAAGAGAGACAGGTGGCGTGTCTTGAGGGGAGACATTTGATACATACTCACAACCATAGTTATGAGAAGCTGTGTGACCCTTAACCCTCTCCACGTGGAGCTTGCTGGTTCAAAAGAACCAGCTTTCACACTGACTTCCCAATTGTCTGTTCTAACCATTCCAGTTAAAAGTCTGATTTTGGTACAGGAGAAACTTGGAAGCAATAAAATTGCTGCTATAAAGGATTTACTAATAAACTTGCTTAGGAAATACTAAACTACACGAAGTAGAATTTAGCTAAAGGAGTGTGGCCTCCAATATAGTTGAAAGATAAGTAGTGTATTGACCAGGGTGGGAATGTGTGGTTAGTAAACCATGACTAGGAGGCTGAGGAGACCCTGAGGCATCATGTTCTAGGGCTCAGCAGACTTCTGCACAAGGTCAGATAGAGAATGCCTTGGGCTTTGGAGCATGCAGTGTGTATTGCAACTTCTCAGCTCTGCTGCTGAGACCCAATAGACCAAACTACAGCTTCAATGAGGGTGGAGGAGAGGAGGGACACTTACCTTGGGTACAGAACTTAAGCCAAAAACAACCCCCAGTTACCAAGATAAATATTTCAGTGCTGTTATTTCCTAAATGGAAAATTTTATTTAAAAAGCCTCCCCAAGATAAACAAAATATCAAAAGTTCAAATACAGAATAAGAAGATATCTGAGTGAATTACATAGTTATGTTTCAATAAAACCCTTTGGCGAGTAGGCAAGTTTGCTGTCTCATTACACAGTCCCCTTGGAGCCCTTTGAGAAGTGTTAATCTTATGTGGCTAGGTTTCATTGTGACATATTCCTTTTGGGGTCCCTTTCCCCCTTAGTTCTTCTTTGGTGTTATTCAGGCTGCTCATTTCCCTCCATTTTATATCCCTATTGCATTCTAAAGCATTTTAATAGCTCAGGCTTCGAATTGGACATAGAAGTTTTCTAACAATAAAACTTCAACAAGGTTTCTGTACTGACTGTGAGCTGTCTTCACTCACACCACCTAGGGAGGAAGGGAGACATTCCTAATGGTTGCTGGAAGCTGTGTAATACCCAGTCCCATTCACAGATACTAGGATGACAGTGGCTGTCATGACCAAGACAGCTACAAAAGTGACCAAGAGGATCAGTGAAGTGAATATACTTGACAAGGATGATTTGGGTCCCAGTAGGGGCACAGTTGGAACGATGTTGAGCCTTCATTGTGCTTCAGAATTGTGTGGAATGCAAGACTAATGAACTGTTGGTTTCTGGACTCTTCTACTAACTATCTTCAGTTGACTGTGAACGCTAACTGAAACGGCAGGTAAGGGGCACTGCTGTACACTGTGCAGATGGTTTGGAGAGACTCTGACAAACGGCTCACAAGCCTGCTCATCTTGGCATAGTTGCATTTCAACAACAGTGTGTTCTAACCAAAAAGCCTTCCAGAGAAGTCAAACAAAAATTTGAAACTATGGTCTATTATTTGTTGAGTAACGGTTGAAGCTAGGGCTCATCCTTTGACACAGCCATTATAAAGCCATCAGCTTCAGATAGATGCAACCTCTGGTACCTGTGAGGGAGGGGTGTGGCTCAGGTGGCTATTTGAGACAGGTTTTTCTCTGCAATTTCATGATGTTGAGACCTTCTATGACAATAAGGAAGGACCAGCCCCTATCAGACGTTTAGAGTTGACACTAAGATAGCAGAAATCCACAGTATGGACACCAGGCTGCAGCAATTAATTCTGGAGTCGCTTCCTGATGACATGGGTATAAATTCTCTCCTTCCAGACCCCTACCCCATCTTCACCCCTCCAAACATTGGCCTGCAGTGTACAGGGAAAAGCCAACGAGGCTCTCATGACTCAACCATGATAAAAGACAGGGTCAGGTAAGATGTCAATTAATGTGACAACTCATGATGAAATCTGTTCCAATAAAAGTTTATTTGGCTCATCCTGATCAAGTTTAACAATATGTAACAGATTACTTTAAGAACATGAATAATTATAATAATTTTTCCTGTAATAACAGTTCTCTGTGAACTCATGGCCAATCAGCAGCATGTCCCTTACTCAAAAAGTAAAGCTTTCCCTCTGAGGACAAATGGCACGTGAGGAGTGGTGTGCATTGCATTTCCTTAAAAGAAAAAGTAAAACCTAAACACTTCATATTTACATGTTTTCCACTCAAAACTGGTCAGTGTGATTGATTCTGTTTTAAAATATAGGTTTCTAATGCCTTGTAGGATTTCAATATACAAATCATAGTTAGATTTAAGGGGCTACGATGTGAGGATGAACACAGTCCACAGAGTTCTCTCAACAGACCGGCTAGACTTCCTAGGTATCTTTGGGATCCTGGCAGGGGCAGGAGTAGGGGGAGGGAGTGTAGGA